GTTGACCTCTTCAACTGATGAAAATATTAAAAAAGTAAGGGAAATGGTGYTTGAAAATCGTCAGGCAAGTGTTAGAGCGATAACAAGAGAGCTCGACATCTCTCGCAAGTCCGCTCGAATGATTTTGGTAGATATTTTGGGTATGAAACGTGTTCTTGCTCGACTTGTCTTGATAAAGCTGAATTTTCTTCAAAAAGTGTACCGCAAAAAAAATCTCTTTAGACATGTTTGAACGTGCAAATTCCGATCCCATATTCATGGTGAGCATTATAACTGCCGTTGAGACACGGGTTTACGAGTTTGATATGAAAACCAGACAAAAATCATCGGATTGAAGGAAAATACGCGAGCCGAAACCAAAACAACCACGCCAAAGCTGCTCAAAAATCAAAGTGATGCTCATTGTTTTTTCGATATTCGTGGTTTGGTGCATCTTGAATTTGTTCTGGAGTGACCTATAATGTGATCTATAATGAGGTTTATTTGACCGTATTAATGCGTTAGCGTGAGAATATCCATCAAAAACGGCCGGAATTGTGGAAGAACAATTCATGGATTTTACACGATGATGAAAATAGATAATGCATCTTCGCATCGAGYCACGCTTGTGACGGAACTTAAAGCCAAAAACGCATTGAGTACTATCGATCAATCACCGTACTCATCAGATTTGGCTCGGTGTGATTTTTTCTTGTTCCCCAAAGTGTAATTGCCGCTCCGTGGTACCCGCTTTCAGTCGATCGAAAAGATAAAATAAAATTCGCTGAAGGAGCTGAAGTSCATCTCAAAAAATGTGCTGATGAAAAGTGTTTCGAGGACTGTAGAAATCATTGGCAAAAGTGTTTAACATTTGGTGRGGATTGCTTTGAAGGCGACAAAATAATTATAACTGAATAATTAAATATTTTGCRTTTTATTTACAATTTGCGGGTGCTTTTTTGTCACAACGTATATATGTATGTGGATATTTATAAGTGCACATTTATGTTTATTTAATATGGTGCTCTATTATTTTTATGATATGAAAATAAAACTTGTGTTGTGACATACATAGACACAAAGTACACAAAGTAAATACAGGCGAATACTTATGTTTAGGCCGAATAAAATATAACTAGCACATACATATGTATGTATATAGTACATATACATATGCATACATGTGTGCATATATTGTTTGTATGTATGCATACGTGATTGTACAAATTAATACTGGCGGTGTTTGTCGTTATACACACGTATGTCTTTATTATAGGCATTTATTCATACATATGTATGTATGTGTACATAATTTGTTACATTTTCGCCCGACAAAATGCACCTTAATAAACTATTGTGCCAATGGTAAAATAAACAAACAAAAACCACACACAACTCAATAAAGCAGAGTTCCTTATCTTATCAAAGAAACCGTTTGTTGATTGCGTAAATATTATTCAGCAAATAGAACCCTAAAATATACGCCGAGAACACAAATACTTACCTGTACTTACATATACATGTGTATATATGTATACCGACAAATATTGTGTGTGTGTGTGTGTGAGTGTGGAAATGTGCCATATCTATTGGAAGAGCTCTAGTTTTATACGAATTTAATTCATGCTCTGAACGTGAATTTCAAGCATTACGCGCACTTCACCTCAGCCTGAACGCAACATGTGCTTGAGATTGGCAAACAAAAAAGTGGAATCTTAAAATGTAATTGTAAAGAAAATTTGGTTTTAAGGAGAGACGTTKACTTGATTTTATTTGTTGAAAAAATATATTTTATTATGATAGCTTATATATTTGGTAGTCCAAAATGTCGTTTCGTATTTCTAATCGAACTTTAACTTATTTTTTGTTATATTTTGGGAGGTTGGTAGACTACATTCCTTTTTTTCCTTTTGGTCCTTTGCGAAATCAGATGTAGTTCAGTTGTGAGTACCATTAGGAGTAATCAGTCATTAGGATGCGTGTTTCATTAGACTCTGTGCACTCACTATCGATACCTCTGCCAGTGTCTCATGAAAAGGAGTCACCAAATGCTTAAAGCGTAGCCCTGCCAATGTGAGTGCACAGGATATGCTCCATATTTTCATTAAAATTAAAAGAATTCTTAAACCGATTTCTGAAAGCGTAAATTTTCTTCAACATACTTATATATATGTTTATACAAAATTTTCAATTGCAATTAATGAAAAAAAAAAAACATAAAAACCATTAACTACTGCTGCTTCAAACCTGTAATACGCTTCACAGTTGCATTTCTTGTGGCATAAAAATATATAAAAGGATCAGTAACGTGGTTTCAAACAAACAGTTTATATGCCGGCTGTATGCTATAGTTGTCCGATCTGAGCAATATGTTCAGAGTTTGTAGCGCTGGTGTAAAAAAAATATGTGCTGCATTTCGTGTGATATCTTGTCAAATAAAAAATATTTCTATACAATAACTTGATTTTGATCGGTCAGTTCGTATGYTGGACTTAGCTTATAATGGTATTCGTGATTCCGACAAATGAGCAGCTTTTTGGTGAGAAAGCAGGCGTGCAAAATTTTAGCTCAATAACTGAAAACCTGTGGACTAGTTGGCGTAGATACAGACAGACCGACAAACAGACGGACATGGCTAAATCGACTCAGCTCGTCACATTAAATATTTGTATATATGTATTATCTTGTCTTCAATGTTTCATTCTGGCTGTTGCAATATTAATTTAAACTGTTCAGGACATAGTTAGAACCCGATCATTATGTAACATATTCTTTCATTAACTGACAATCCAACAGCATGTGTCATATAACGCAGAATTAATGTGTTAATGAAATAGTGTCTTGACTTAGCTGMTACAACAACCTTTAGTTATTTCTGTACTGAAAACTGGGAACACTCTGCTGAAATATTGGCATTTTTCTTCCATACAGGGTGTTAAAGAAAAGTAAATTATTCAACAAATGATATGTGACTATTCTAAATGAATTATTATCGTTTAGAGATTTAACGATATTTGCAATAATTAAAGAGCGTAAAAAACTTACGCTATTGAACGCAGATAACGTAAATTCGCTCCAATATACGTTCTCTGCTCGGAGTAGCTGTTGCTACTGATGAGAGATTAAACAACCTACTTTTGCAGGTAACCATCAAAAATTGTTTAAATCTCACTATTTTATGTGCAATTTCTAAGTGATAAGTAATTTCGTTTAATTTACAAAGTTCGGACCAACTCTGGCTGTAAATGCGTTGTTAAAAGAAAGTTTCGCCAGCGTTGCACTACTCAACATACGAATTTATCGCTAGATTGTCAATTATCAATCACAAACAAAGCTCGCTTGCTACCCATAMCAGGTTCATTGAAAAGTCCTCGGCCTACCATAGTCAAATAAAAATTTATTCTGGCAAAAGTTTTTWTTTTTATTCAACATAKKTMCMTWTRWAGKT